CACCTTGGTTTTTTTCTTGGATGCAAACAGATTTATGCCTGTTGGTTTTGTTAAACAATGCTCATTTTCCTTGTTTTTACTTTATATCTTTAAGGAGATAACTAGGTAGGATAGCTATTTAAGATTGTCTTTTCTTAATTTCCCCCAAAACCCAAAAAACTAAGGGTTCTAGAGTTTTACTTGTTTTCATTTTTTCTCATAGATCTTATTTAAAGTTGAGACGAAAAATTAAAAATTCTTTCCAATTGAAGTAAACCTAACTTTTTCAAATGCCTAGTAACTCTTATAAACAATAAAATAATGTTAGAGATAGAATTTATATAGAGGAGTATAATATGATTTGTTATAACTATGTTAGTTCTGATGGTGCAAGTCAAAAGTTAACAATAATCACCTAAGAAATACTTTGATTTTGTGTCCCATTTGTTACTGTGCCGCATCTACAATTAAGTTGTAAGATTTCATATAGTAATTTCAACTAATGTTATGATTGAACAAGGTTCTCTAAGTATTTGTTATGGACTGATCCATTCCATAAATGAAGCACCGACCATTCCTTGATCTTGTACTTGGATTGATATTTTGGCTCCTTTTTTGTTTTTTAATTTTATTTATCATTTTGCGGTATGTACATTATCTTCAATGCAAGCATTCTTCAGGATCTTTTGATTTATTGGGACATACTGCTCCGGTACAAGCTGCAATCATGTTGCTTTTTGGTCCTTTTGTGGACTACTAGTTAACAGAGAAAAAGGTTTATGCCTATAACTACACTGCCATATCTATGGTACGGTTCTTATCAGAGTTTACTAGAATATAGTTGGTTATGATACATCATTTTAACTTAAGTTGTATTGGTATTTTATGAGAAATACTTCATTTGTATCGAGCGTACTGAGAACTGACTTCCATCCTTGCATTTGGTCATATAACTAGGATTAATGATTAAGAAAACATGGAAGATTTAACCATCATACTTACTTTTAATATTGTCCTGTATTGTTTTTGTAACTGGAGAACCATGAACATGAACTCTACATTCTTAAGTTCATGTGCTAGTGCAAGTTGATATATGGATTATTAATATATTTTGCATGCAGGTAATTATGACTGCTGTAAATAATATGTGATACTCTCTTCTTGCAGTTTTTCATAACCCTGTCTTGCACCATTACCGTGGGGACGACCAACCTCAGCCAGTTTATCTGCATCGGTAGGATTACAGCCGTATCGTTCCAAGTGCTTGGCCATATGAAGACTATTCTCGTCCTGATTTTAGGTTTCATTTTCTTTGGTAAAGAAGGTCTCAATCTACATGTAATTCTGGGTATGGTTGGAAGTGGAGTGTCATTTTTTAATTTCCTTGGCCTTTATTAAAAATTTCTTATTGGATTATTGCAATGAAGAACAATGTCAAACTACATTATTTTGTTGTTAGTATTTTTCTTTGGTAAAGAAGGTCTCAATCTACATGTAATTCTGGGTATGGTTGGAAGTGGAGTGTCATTTTTTAATTTCCTTGGGCTGGTTTTAGCGGCGTTTTTCCTTTCGCCGCAAGTAATTTTGATTTATTTTTCTACATAATTTGTGTCGTAATTAAATTTTAAGTTTATTGTTATTAGATAATGCTATAGAATATTAAATTTACGTAATATAAAATAGAAAATGATTTATGCGAAATTAGATAACCATAGCGGCGTTTGTAAATAAAAGTCACCAGAAGTCAGGTTCTTTTGCGGCGTTTTGTGAAGAAAACGCCACTATATACATAGTTATTAGCGGTGTTTTTTACCACAAACGCCGCTAAATATCATAACATGTAGCGGCGTTTTCGATAAAAATGCCGCTAAATCTCAACGCTTATTGCGACGCTTGTTTGAAAAACGCCGCTAAACAACAACACCTATTGCGGCGTTTGTAAGCAAAACGCCGCTAAATATCAATACCTACTGCGGCGTTTTTTCAACAAACGCCGCTATATATCGTCACCTATTGTGGCGTTTTTCGTTAACAAACGCCGCGAACTTTAGCGACGCTATTTTCAGCGGCGTTTTTCATAATGCCGCATGTGTTTTTAGCGGCGTTTAAAAACGCCGTTATATATAAAAAAAACGCCGCAAAAAGCCGATTTTGCTGTAGTTATATAACTGTTCAAACTCAAAAATTCTAGAAAAAACAATACCCTTTTCAATTACCGAAGTCACTTCATAAATTTATTATGCCAATGTTATCTAAACATGAACGGGTGTTATAGAACAAAAGCATTTCACTACCCTTATAAAACCTAATTCAATACAAATAATTTATTTCCATTAGTTTAGTAGGGACAAAACACAAATTTACTTCAACATTTTTTTTTTGGAAATCATACATATAATGTTTGTGTTTATATAATAAATAAATATTCTAAATAAATAAATGGTTAAATTCTTCTATTAATAAACTATGAAATAGTTGTAGACTTAGTCGTCACATTCCAACTTACTCATTTCTAATCAATGATTAGAATAGTGAAACTGGTAGGTAGTGGTCTTTATCAAGCTTATCAATAGAGAAAAAAAGGTTTGGTATTATATTTAACAGGTCGCTGCCATTGACTGACCATATTTTCTTCTCAACCGGCCCAAATGGACGACAACAACTCATCACGGTCGTACGATCTAAATGTCTGTTGAAGTTGGCTCCCACCCTAAAAACCAAACCAAATTCATGCGACAGAGAGGCCTTAGGATCTTTGAAACCAAGCAAATCAAATGGTGGATTTTCTGGGTTTAAGTCGACAAATGCTCCCCTAACTTCTGGTCAGTCAAGAGGCCAGACAGCTATTATCAGGCTGATATACATTTCTCTCCTCTTATAGGAGCCATTCCAATATAGTCACAAGTTGAGTTTTTTCTTTGAAGAGAGAGAACATATTTATGTATTTGCTGCATTAGGAAATAAATATTTTATTTTTTAACTTGCAAGCAGCCAAGAGAAATGAGTAGGATGATGTTTATACCAGCAAAATTTTACTCATAGATGGAAAAGGAATTAATTAGTTTATTATCAAATAATAAACATCAATCATGTCTCTGAGTGGACAAATTAATTATAAGTTCCACATTATTTATGCTGCAATTTAATAGGGATGATTTTGACATCCGCCGATAATTTAGAAGAGATTCGATATTATCCAAGAGTTCATTAAATAATTCTATCTAATATATAGTAATTTAATCTTATTAATAAGTTTCTTATAGTAATCTCCAGGAAGTGAGCTAGCAACAATTATATAGTTCATACATATATACAATATATATATATATATACACACACCAACTATTAATTTTTCATTTTTTATTATTAAGGTGATTACAAAGTAGTATTTGTTTTAAATATTCTCAATTATTTGACAATGAACGTTAAATCACCCTTGCAGTCGCTAGTGCTCGAACGTATAATCTTTAAGAACAAAACGATTCTTTTAACTACTGAAGTGAGTTGGTTTGTGCTACCATCTACCAAGTTAAATCAACTAAATAAAGAATTTTAATTGTCTTGTCCTATCCTAAATAGTAGTTAAATAGGGAAATATTTCAATGTGGTCCATGAGATGTTGGACTCTTTCAAGGTAAGGGCTAGGGTTCCATTAAATTTGAAATGGATCCATATAATAATAGAAACCAATATCTAAATGCTAATTTCAAACACCACATAATCCTATATCTATATCAGTATTTAAAATACTGGTTGAATTGTAATGACTCTATTATTTAAATATATAGTTTTCTAATTATTTATAAATATAGCACTTTTAAAAAATCATTTATGAAGATGACATATTTTTTATCATGTAAAGAAAATGTATTTTCTATCAGTCGTGTCTTGTAAAACATATACTTGATAGAAAGTTTTTACATGAAAATTTATCAGTCGTGCTCGAACCTAGTTAGTAAATGTTTTATTTTTCATAGAATCATTTACGAATACATGAAAATGTATTGTCTATCAGTCGTGCTCGAACCCAGTTAGCAAATGTTTTGATTTACATGAAAAATGTAGTCGACCGTACAAATCTATAGAAGATTTTAAACTCAAAATTTAATATTATAAAATTTTAAAAAGCGCGGGAGGGGAAACAAACTTTCCCGCACAACATCTCGCCCCTCAATATTTTTCATCCCTAAATCTCTTTTCAACCATGAAAAACACAAGTTTATCATTAAAATTATCAAATAATTATAAAAATGATTTTAGATATAACTGAAATACAATGATACAATATTGATAAATAAACTTAAGCTTTACAATAAGCATTGTCATAAAGAAATTATTTGATGATTTCAACGTGAATAAATTTCATAACGCGATAATCGTCAATTACACGTTAAATTTTTCTGTATCAATCTCTCTTCAAGATCACCATCACCGCTTACTCCAACATTTTCTATAGTATCTCTAACACTACCAATATTACTGTATATTGATTGGATTAGTCTATTCATCAACATGTCCAATCATATGATGATAGATGACCTGTGAAGAGTAAGAAATATATATCTTACTAATAAAAGTAAATAATTAGATAAATAAATGATTAAGTGATTAAAATAGAAACAATTTAAAAGTTCAGTGAGTGATTAAATTTTTTTGAACTTCAGTATCTAAAATAAGCCCAAAAAAAAGGTGATAATTTATGTAATTTATCCTCGTATTAAAGTTGTAATTCAGCTTGTGTTATAGATTAACCATATCGTGAATGAGACGTACATCTCGAAAGAGTAGCAAGCGACAAAAGTTAAAGCTTAAATTAACTATGTAATTCAACTGCGGAAGAGAAAGCTTACAGTACCTATGTAACTGAAAACCATGCAAAAGGAGCAATCATTCATTCAAGATTGATAAATTAACTACGTAGTAAAAGAGAGACATGAGTACTTGTATTACTGTCACTCCTATTTACAACGGTTAAAACATGCATGAAAGCTAAGAATCCTTTGCATTTTAACCGCTACTGGTATTAATTTTAACTTTGATTCCCCTTCTTTTTCGGCCGTCTTTTTCCAGAACACAATGCCATTAAACAACCTTAATGAGATAAGCTTAGCGTACGTCTGGGCCGAACATTAACACTCAATGGATTGGCCATCTCACAAGATAGCCTAAGAACCTCTGATAAGTCCACCGGATTTTGATCCGACGGTAGCCATTCAAACTCATGCAAAAGCGATGCCACCCAAAAGCTGACGGTGGTCAACCCCAAGTTCTTTCCCGGGCATATTCGCCTGCCCGACCCGAATGGAGCAAACCTAAGGTCCGAACCAAGCACGGAGAACTCCACTTCACCTTCCTTCGTCACAAATCTATAGGGCATAAATTCAAGTGGGTCCGCCCATTCTTGCGGGTCCCTCGTGATGGCCCACATGTTAACCATTGCTGTCGTCCCCTTCGGCACGTGATACCCATCAACGGTTGTATCGGTGATAGCTAGACGGGCCCAGGAAAGTAGTGGCCCCGGCGGATGAAGCCTTAGAACTTCCTTGATCACTGCCGGAAGATAAACCATGTTCGTTAAATCAGACTCGTCCACGGCTCTTGATCTACCGACGACCATATCGAGCTCCTCATGGACCCTTGACTGAACATCGGGATGGAGCACAATTCTCGCTAGTATCCACTCGACCACCACCGCCACGGTATCAGTTCCCCTGAATATCATTTCCTATAAAGAAACAAACCACAGTATTTAGTACACTCAAAGTACCAAAAATAGTATTCGATTTGTCGTTTAATACACTTCTTTTTTTAACAAGAAAAACGTTAACAAGTATTCGACAGCTTACCCACAGAACAGCGATCATATCAGAGTCAGATAATTTATCGACACCTTGGAGAGAAAGTAAAACGTCGACGAAATCTCGAGCTTTCACGTTTGTTTGAACACGGCCCCTATGTTCGGCTATAATTCGGCTGACAAAGCGGTTGACTTTAGGTACGAGGTTCGAGCATCTGACTCTGATTTTCTGAGGGTCAAAATCAGCTAGCCAAGGAAGATGGTCGGACCAATTAAATGTGCCCAGTAAATCGTAGCCTTCATCGACTAGAGCTCGGAGTTCTTCAACTTCATCTTTGATGGAATCCAACTTATATTTTTGTCCGAATATCGAAACCATCATGTTGTTTAAAGAAGCTCGTTTGAGCACTTCGCGTACGCAAAAGCTTTTGTTATTGCGAGCGAATAAAGTGAGCATTTCAGAGGCAATAAAGCGTCTCTGCTCCTCTGCACCTTTAATTTGCTTAGGGCAGAAAAGGTGCGTTGCTGCGATTCTTCTCAAGATTCGCCAGTAAATTCCATAAGGAGCGAACCCGATTGCTCTATCGAACATCAAGCTATAAGCTGACTCTTTCATCGGACGATCAGCAAATATGGAGCTGTTAAGAATCTCTCGTGCTACATCCGAATTGCAGGTGACGATAACACGAGTATCACCGAGGCTAAAAGCCATGAGCCTCTTGGCTTCGCATGTCTCGGCAGCGGATGCAATCAGGTGATGAGCGAGGGAGCTGGCCATAAGGTTCATGCTACCTAGTAGAGGCAACCCTCTAGGCCCTGGAATTGGCTTGTTAGCAACAGAAAGAGAGGAACATTTTTTTAACCTATATTTGCCCCAAGCTGGGCCACCGGGGTGAGCCCAATGGAGTAGGATCATAAGTAGCCAGGCAAGAGCGATGATCAAAATTGAGCATGCAATACTTTCTTGTGAAAAAGCTCGGCATTTGGATGCAAGGGCAAAGATCCACACACTCTCTATGTCACTGCCGCCCATGGTGTCGAAGAACTAGAATGATAGTAGAAAATCAAAGCACAGGGAAAATGAAGAAAGGCAGCTGGCTTTTCGATTTTGGAGCGTAAACGAACGAGTCTAGCAGCTATTTATATAGAGGGGAAGGAGCTTAAACGGTCTACTTTTTCAAGTTATAAATCCAATCACGATTGCAAATAATAAATAGTATCTAAATAAATATAAGGATAAACTAAGTATTCAGTCACCCATTTATTTCTAAAATTCTATTTTGCTCATCTACTGTTAAGAAAATAAACATAACAACTAACGTGGTAAATTTTTTTAATTTTATTCAATGATGACATGATATTATTTTATGATAATGCATTAAGATCATCGCTAAATTTATAACAATGGATAATCAAAACGAAATTAAAATGTGACATTATGTATACTTTTAGAAGAAAAAAATAGTAGTTGTCTCCAAAATAGAACCACACAATTTAGTGGATGATTAAATAAAATTATACTTATTTAAGGAGAGTCCAATACCAAAATATTCAGGTCTCAATCTTTGTCAACTCTATTAATATAATAGTAAAAGGGTCTTGTAATTATTAGTGAATTAGGTATACATGAACAAACGTAACATTTTAAGTTAGAGGAGGTAAACTTATAAAATTTTAAGGGATGAGGAAAACATATTTTCAACAAAAGAAATATAAAGAAAATATCTAAAATATATAAAAATTTAAATTTTTTTAAAAGGAAGACCGCCCTCACATGCAACCCTCTAGGCCCATCCATCCCTATATATTACTAGTAATATAGATGATAATACATCATTAAAAATGAAAAATATTTATTTTTTAATTTATTGATTATAAATAACATTAAACATTATTAATATATAACATAAAAATTTGATTTTGTTATTATTCTTTCATTTAGAAAGTATTAAAGGGTTAATTGAGTATTAACTTAATCAAAATATTATTAATATAATAATGAGAATGTCGAGAATTTGAATATACATTGCTTTTTTAATTTATGAATAAAATAAAATTTAAATAATTTACTTACGTAAAATGTACATACATATATATATAAAATATTTTTTTTTATCATTTTGTATGAGTTCTTATCTAGATTGTTCTTCTTTGGGTCGGATTTTATGTTGGGCTAAATTTGCAATTTGGTTGTGTTATAATAATTACATTTGATTATGTATATAGATCCGATTTTCATTCAACGATACTTATTATGTTGATTGTGATTATCTTTATGTTTGTAATTCTTAGATATGCAAGTCATAATTATAATTATATTTGTATCAATTTAGCCCCGACCGTTGATCTTGTTGCCCTGGAAGCAACCGGGTAGTAAAAAAATATTATTTTCATTAAAATATCAGATTGCAAGACCAAATACCAAATCTTTGTCGATATTCAATTATTATTTTCCTTTTCAAGACAATGATTTTAAAAATAAAAAAACAGGGGTTAGTTTAGAAATGTTTAAATTTTTAATGCCTTATTGTCAATTTTACACATTGGATGTTTTGGTTGTTGTTACTTTATCCACTATAGTATGCCACTTATTGTCAAGTTTACACATTGGATGTGAAATGTGGAAGCGTCTTAGCTATGATTTTTTTTTTATATTACAGTCAATCATAATTAAAAATTAATTATGTAGGTGTCTATCATTTAGAGGTGTCAATCTTAGATAATAATTTTATAGATTTTACATAATATGCAATTATACTTAATTAATTATAATCGTAAATGATATGTAACAAATTAACATCATTGACTTGGGAAGAAATTAAGGGGAAAAATTAACTCTGTATGCTCAGAAAATTTCAAATCTCCTGGCAATTGTAGAAGACTAAAAGATGACCGCTTTATGAGATGTGCTCAATTACTTACTGTACGAATAAGTAGTTACTTCTGGAAAGATGAATGGATTTCTTAATTATCAGCTATCCACACATGCTTACTCATCATTAGGGGGTTTACTCACAAGATAATGACCGGAAAATATGTCTACAACACAGTAGATCAGCATCTTCAGAAACCTCCAAGATTAAGACATCGTTTGACGAGCTCCTTATTCATTCATACTAATATTTTGAATAATTGCAGTGATTACAATTGGACGATGCTATTAGAACTATGAGGAGGAATAAGCCAATATTCACTCTTAGTATTAAGACAGTATGAGGCAGGATAATTTGTTCTGATTATCTGTGGTCTGAATTCATCGATCCGAGTTTATTTATTAATGAGACAATGAGAAGAGAAAGATCCGAGAAATTTTAATTCTTGGAAAATATTTCAGACTAAGATAGTGACAACTCAAATCATGTTTACTCCGGATTATGAATCTTAGAATCTAAGGAGAGGAAATGAAAATTTCTCATAATCAAACCAGGAAGAGGTTGTTCTTATGGAGGAACAGTTGAAGGTGATCCCATTTGATCTACAGATTATAAAGAGCGAATTTGACAGGGTAAAGATCCAATGCAAAATAAAAAAAAAAATCTTAAAGGAGAAAAAAAGTACAAACTGAAGCTCGATATACATTTTGACATGGATCAATCCGAAAGAATAAGGAAAGGAAAAGAGAAAGCTGAAAATGAACTAGCAAATTTGAAAGCTGATTATAACAAGATTCATCTATCACGAAGAATCGTTGATTTAGATAAGATTTATGAATAACCAAAATTTGATAACTTTTCTTAAATTGATAAAATGCATACGTTTTAGAGACTAAAACTATTGTTATACCAAGCTACATCATCATTTCTATTAAGTCAATGGTCAAACCCAACAACGGTAACCAAAACAAAAATGAAACATAATATTAGGTATGATTTAAAAAAAATAGTTGAGTGACCAAAACAGAAGCACAAGAATAGATGAGTGACCAAATAAATAGTTTACCCTAAATTGTAATATTCAAAGGAAAATGTAGACTACTTTAGAACTTTTTAAAGCATGATTAAGGCCAAGCACAATTCAAAATCCAAAAAAGTAAGCTTCATATCTCCAACCAAAGCTATTTCGAATATGTTAAAGTTGAATACCACAAAACAAATCATATATACGCATTCTTGATGTTGCTCTTGCTCTCATAGCCTAGGCTAGAAAGATTACACCCATCAGACAAAGCTTCCCCACTCTAATTTTATATTATATATAATCAGTATTAATCTAGAGTATCCTCAACCCACATTGAACTTAAGATTAGTTCTTTTAAGATCAGAACCAATAACTTATCCATGTTGAGTCCCATATAGAAGGAAACTTCGTTTCTGTGTGTGGCAACTGGCAAGACAAAGAAAATCAGTGGCTCTGATATTATATATTTTTTACTATATGTATACAGAAATGATGATTGGAGGAGGAGTGGGTGGGGAATCTGATTATATGGAGGGAGATATTGATTTGATTGTATCATCTCTTTCTTCTTCAACCTTTTTTCCAATGACATTGGTGCTTATGAGAATCAACTATTCATCATCGCTATCTGATGTTTATGATTCTTAACCATTGGATTGACAGAAATTCCATTTATACCTTTTCCTAACATTGCTTACAGGATCAAATTATGAGTTTAGGGCTCTGCCGTTTCTTGTTTTCTTTTCTTTACTAATGGTAGCACTGGCAATATAAGTGCTTCTTCTTCTTCTCCTTGTTCTGCATGTTTCTAGGCTGAGATCTACGCAATGCATAGTTGCTTGCTTCAACAATGTTGTAGACAGTGCGAATGTATGCGTTTTCTGGCCCATGGAATTTAAATTTTTTTACGTTAGTTATTCATTTTATTAATAATGTCTACTCTAAAAATTTATTTATCTGTTTCATAAGAGAAATTATTGTTATTAATATATATATATATATATATATAGAGATTTGTGACTAGTTGTAATCAAAAGTGAGAATATTGTTAAGTCCCTCCTAAACAGTGGAATAGCCAGACTTCTAATCAAACTTAAAAAGTATGCTTTATTTTACATCATTTTTTAAGTCATAAAAAGAGAGAGAAAGAGAAAGCAAATAGCTTGGTCTTAGTCTTTGTAAAAGCAAGTGGTACTTGTACGGCCAACCTTTTTTGCACACTATGATATAACATGATAAATTAATAATTCAATGTGAAGAACCACCCTTGGTCCAGATTTTAATATTAAAAAACAGCTTTTAAAGAAAAATGTACATATTAGTGGGATAGTTGTAGTGGAAAATTGAACTCTGACTACCCATGGTGGGGTGGGGGATTTCTCTTTCCCCCCAATGTTCCAATCTTTTTTGAATGAAGTCAAGAGCCATATATTTGGATTCTTCAAGCCATAATGAAGCACAAATTGGTGATGGATCACATTGCCAATTTGCTTTTGACCCAAAAAAGTTGAGGCACTGGGAACTAAATTTTGGCCCTACACCTTAGATTTGCTACATCTGTTTTATTTATTCAAGTTTGTGCTTTGAATGTCAACTTCTCTGTCCAATTTACAAGGGGATAATGATCTGAAAACCAAAGCTCCAGGGCTTTCACTCAAATCTGAAAGAAACGTTTGAATGTTAATTGCATGCATGTTGCAGGACTTGACCACACTGTTTGAATACTTAGTTTATTCATGGGTTTAAATTAATTAATTACGTTGATGAAAGAAACGCTTGAATGTTAATTCATTTGGATTTTATTTTAGACCGAGATTTTATTCCCATAGAGGTAAAGCAATTTGCATGCTTTGTTTTGGAATCCCATGCAGACCTCTTTTGGAAAAATAATAATAAGAAATTTGGTTGGTGCAGAACAACTCAATTTGCAGTTTCATACGTGTACATAGACAACACATATGCCCAGATTCATTCATAATATATTTAAATAAAAAGGCAGTTAACTCTTTGTTTTACCATTGGTTGTGTATTATTTAAGGATCAAAATAACTATGAAATTATATGATTGGAGCCTCTTCGATGTGGTAGGAACCTCAAGGGTTTGGTTAGGAACTTTAGATTATCAAATCTTTAATTTTCTCTGTGTCCTACTAGATTTGAATATTTCATACTTGCTATAAAAATATAAAAGAATATCTTTCATATATATATTATAGGTTTAGCTCATATACTTTGGATATAGATTTAGTTTTTATCATTCAATTTGATTATTTTTTGTTCTTTAAAATTTAATCATGTTATTTATATATTATTAAAATAAAAAAAACTAAAAAAATACAAGAATTAAATGTGATTAAATTAAAATATGAAGACTAAATACTTATATGTAGGACACATATAATGATAAATTCGGCCTTTAATATATTCCTTAGTGGGCTATTCCAAAAAAACAAATTAACCTTACAAATATCCTTAGTGGGCGGCTCCATTCACACCCTTAATATTAAGCCTATTCCGTAAATAACCCATCGGCTGGGCTATATAAAATTTGTTTATTAATACATAAAGTATTGATTAATGTTTTCTCATTGACAACTTAGGTCCAGGTTTACATGTTTGTAATTATTTTCCCTTCCCAAATTTTAATAAAAATATAAATAAATCCTTTAGATTATGGTGAAGGAACGTCTACTTATCCATGAAGAAAGGTGTGAATGGATTTATCAATAATAACAAAAATATTAATTAACTATTTAAGGAATCAATGAATATGTGCAAAATGTCACAGGACTAGACTGCTGCTAGCAAGCTCGTGTGGACTTAGACGTTTTCAAGGTCGAAAATCGACTAAATAACCCAAACTCTTACTAAGCAAGAAAGCTTAGAACGTTGTGAAAACAAAGAAAGTGATGAAGAACAATGAGATGGGTGCTCAAAGGGAAAAGATATAGTTTTGAGCAAATGTAATCTTAAGTGTGTAAATGAGGTGGGGGTGTGCCTTCTTTTATAGTTGGAGCCCCTACAATTAACGATTAAGATTAGATTACATCAATGACAAAGATGAGAGGCCTACTTTATCTACAAGCTAAAAATAAGTAATAATTGTAGGATTTATCTACAAGATACTGATAATTATCATGTCTTATCGCATTCTCCAATGTAGATGGGTCAGCTCTCTTGGGTCTTTTGGAAGGTCCAAAATATGACAAATAAATCTTTGACAATTTTGAACAAATTAGGCTCAATTATGGGCTGACAGTCCGTGACAAAAACAATTAAACAACCAACTAGTAGATACTAAAAATAATAATTGCAAAACGGATTTGACACGACATGAATCCAAAGTTTCCATTTTCACATATATTTAAAAATATATTCCATTTTTCACATATTTATATTTAAAAAATTATAAGTGAAGGTGCATGAAATGCAGGGACAATCAAAACAACCAGCAATACAAAGATTACAAAAGAAAATCACAATGGTTCCATATTTCACATACACTGATGAATCAACATTGTCCAAAGATCAAACATATTTAAGAACACGCGGTAACACATTAATATTTATCAGATTAGGCCATCCATCATCACTCAAAGCTCAAGCTATAGCAGCAGCATCTGCAACAATATTACAGTACATGTCAGAAAATCAAATGTATTTTAAAAGAAAATTGAGAGTATACAATGGTTATCACTAAGTCAAAAATTTGATACTAATAATGAAGGATAATGGGAAATCGACCCCACCACTTTTATTGCCAGACAAAACAGCCCGGTGAGGATGTTGTCACGGGGCCAGAAAATAGACTGCATCGGATTCGGGAGGACAACAGTGTTGGGATTAATTGGACAGTTTCCTTGTTGGTTTTATACATTTGTAGTGTTACTTTTGAGAAAGGGCGTTGTTTACCATCCTTATCCATTGGAAAATGACAGTGAGGACAGATTCGGCTTCTCTCTTCTTGACCTAACCATGCAGAGATGGAGTACGTACAACAAGAAACGGCTCCAACCCTCACATATAGTACAACGAGAAAGGAAAAAAAAGACCAAATGGAGAACCATTTGCTGTTAGAACATCGGACACTACTGTTGCTGTTGTTTCTAACGTGTGACGCAGGCGTCTCGTGTTCCCACAAACAATAGAATTATAAAATTATGTTTTCATCCTTTAAAAATAATAAAACTTCATTTTAATCATTAATTAATTATGTAGGAGGGTGACAAGCTAAAAGCTTTAAAACGTTTGGAAAAATGTACCTGGGACAGATTGAGTGGCTGGACGCGTCTTTTCAGCAAGAGCATCAAGTGGAGTGGCCTTGCCTTGACCCACCAATTTATTACCCTTGCCTTCAAGCTCTGGATGGATCTTCCTTTTCCACATCCTCCTCATTATCTAATCAACCCAAACAAAAATTGTTTACAATTTGCTCACATTTTCGACTTTATGTTATAAAAAAGATACGTGCACCGGCCTTTTAATTAATCATATGTATGCTCTGTTTCATAATCACCTTTTCTTTTAAAGGAAAATGATGAGTGGTTAATTAGTGTGAAAATTAGAGGCAGAGGCATTGTAATACTCACTTGGCGTAGCATTTTGATGGGATGTGAATCCTCTGCAACTTGAGGAATGAGTTTCTTGGCAAAAGAAAGTCCATTTTTGGTACGAAGAGATGGCTTTTTGCATGAAGCTGAGTTCAGTTGCAGAAGACAGTGCTTCTTTTTTATGTCAGAGTCCTCGGAGAAGAGGTCGGCCAGTGTAGTTCTCCCCAGCTTTCCGGAATGGCCCTCTGTCGCCTCCAACTCAATTTCGTGATCAGTACACCCACCGACCACATCAACCATCCTCATAACTTTAGTTTCTCCATACATGGCGTGATCAACGTCCTCAAAACTGTGCTTCAAAGTGCTCAACATCAATGGGTTCACTTCTTCATCACTATCATTCTCAACATATTCGTCTTCATCTTCGTTGTTGACGTTTTCGGTGTATCGTTCTTCTTCCTCTGCTTCCTCTTCGCCACCGTCGTTATCGTAGTCATTTTGTTTCAAGGGATCGAAACCGAAAGTGCCGATTGCTAAAATGCCTTCTCGCCAACCATCCAGCAAGTCGGAAAGTGCAACCTGTTGGAGTAAAGCTTTGGTGTTGGAATCGATTGCAATGGAATCAGTCTTCTTAACATTACGAGCAAGTCCATCTGCACCAAAAACACAAAATCTTTCAATCTTCAATAAACAACACAACACTGCTGTAGAAGGAATGTATTAAATAAATGATCAAACCTTTGAGGACGTTATGATGGAACCTCTTTTGCACCCAGTTGAAGATCTATTAATTAAAATTAACATCAAACACGAAAACCCAAGTTGATTGATTAGAAAGGGAAATCAAAGTTTCCTGGGGGAAAAATAATTTGAAACGAATACATTGTAGTTTACCTTCATTTTCTTAGCCAAGCTTTAGTTTGGTGAGAAGAAAAAAAGGGAAAAAGAAAGGCAATATGTAGTGAGGGTAGAGGCATGGTGGAATGTTTTAATGATCGAAGCAGAAGCAATTGAGAGGGTATGCGAGCTAGGTTGTGACAAGTGGCAAAAAGGTACAGGGCCTGGAAAATTGGGCATGTCATGACATGTTGGTGCCTCTATCTGGCTTGATCGATGTGGCGAAATTCTCGAAATGATATTCCTCTCCCTCTTCCTTTTCTTTCCATTTCTATCACCTCTCTTGCATTTTGCCCACTTCCTCCACAAAGGCTGACAGCCAAATTTGATGGAAAAAAAATAATTCATTAAAAAAGTCAAAAGTTAAAAATCTCATTAAATGTTCTCTAATTTCATCCTAGGGTAAATTCTAAAGAGATATTTGTTTTCTCTCTAACACCACTTATTTTCTAATTACGTCGCATCAATTGTTGTATGATAATTCGATAAAAAATCGTTATCGATAGTTATATGATAATTGATCGGTGTTAAAATCATTTGTTTTACTGAAAAAAGAGGAGGATAATAGGTGGAGGGTGGTTCCAATTATTCTTTTAGCATTCGTCAAGAAGTTTTATAATGACCTTTAGTATTGATATCAACCGTATGAATGTAATGCTTAACAAGCCTACTTGATAAGATAATATGCCAATTGATTTTGACTTAGACAGATTATGCGGTGTCTGCCATGTCGTATAAAGGAATCGTGATTTTCTAAGAAGTGCAAAACTGCGAAGATCTTATATATAGAAATGCTCTCATAAGGCCTCAACAGCGGAGGAGGTCTACGAAGGTCTCATACGTGAAGAGTGATCTCTTATGAAGACTTAAAGAGGAGATATAAAGACGATACAACAATTTCACTCACTCTCAGTCAATTTGAAAATTAATGTTATTTCATTCACCTTAAATTCATATCGAAATTTGGAATATAAACTCATTCTAGATCTGATTATATTTAATATAGTTTTATGTATATTTTTATTTTACCAACAAAATAGAAAGATAATTTAAATTTTAAGTATAAAAATAGAAAAAGAAAAATCAAGGAAAATACAAGATCCAAGTGAAGAACAACACACATCATATTTTTTTTGGCTTAAATACACAAAAGGTGTCCAACCTATGCTCATTTTTCCAGTTTAGTGCCTAACATTTATTTTGTTCTAGTTTGGTGCCTAACGTTTCATTCCGTTACTCAAAATGAGTCAAGCTGTGACAGACCGTTAGTTTTCTCGGTTAAGCGATACTTGTCACAATCTCGTAATTTTGAGATTTTTTTTGAAAAAAATATTAAAAATATTATTATATTTATAAAAAAAACTTATTTCTTTTAAATTACAAAAATGCTTTAAAATCCCCAAATCCTAACACTAACCCGCCCCTCTTTTCCAGCCACGAACACCGCCGCTGACGTAGTCCTTTTCATCATCCTAATTATAAGTTAATGTAGTTGTCGTTGATTGACAATCGAAATCGCTTGGGATTGCGATTTTTATCATAGGGTTTGCGGGTATAAAACGTCGATTCACCGTCGATCTGGTGTTGATCAATCATGATTTCATAGGGTTTTTGTTCGTCGGGGGGAGGTGAGGTCAGGTGGAGCTTCGTCGACGAAAAAGGGTGATGGTCAGAGTGGGTTCAAGGGTTGAAATGAAGGGTTTCAAAGTTTTGAGGTTATTTTGAAAATTATTTGTTTTCTTTTTAAAAAATTATAATTTTATTTTTTTAATTTTATATAAAAAATTTAAAATTACAGATCGCGACATGTTTCACTTAACGGAAGAAACTAACGCGGTCCATCACAACTTGGCCCATTTTGAGTAACGGAATGAAACATTGGCACCAAACTATAACGAAATAAACGTTAGGCACTAAATTGAAAAAATAGGCATAGATTAGACACCTTTTGTATATTAAGCCTATTTTTTTAATGATTTGATTATTCAAATAAGATTTTTCAATGTGTAAATATACTACAAATTTTAACTTATACGTTAACTCCTCCATCAATTATAAATGAATAATGATTTGATTGATAATACTTAAATAATTGAGTGGTTTACTTGATAAAATTAAAAGAATCAACAGCCAAAATAAAATCTCTCTATAATTAAGTGATCATGACTGTAGTTTACCCTTTTATCTAATATGGACTAAATCTAATTTTTTAAAAATGAACAAAACAAACTACTTCACCTAATCTAAATCCTAAATTAAAAGAATCATGTTAAATCAATTAAAGTTAAAATCATTTCAAAAAAATTAGCATCCAAACTAAAAAAAAAAAATACAAAGGATGAGAAACTGACATCAGACGAGTACACCGATCCACTTTTGTATAAACAAACCGAAGTAATATATTCAAGGGTAAATTATGCATTTAGTATACTAACTATCATTTTTGTTTTGTTTTGGTCACTCAACTATTTAAAAAATCATATTTTATGTTATGTTTATGTTTTATTTTGGTCACCCACCGTTAAAAAATTAACAGAACTACCGTTGTGACATTTAATTTTTTATTTTTTCAATGATGATATGAAATTATTTTATGATGACACGTCAACATCACCGTTAATTTTTTAACATATAGTGACCAAAATGAACCAAAACTACATGTTAGATATAGTTTAAAAAAAGATAGTTGAATAATCAAAACTAAACAAAAGTTAGAATTGAAGTATTAAACATGTAGTTTAGTATATATTCAAATTTAAGGAAACATGAGTGCTTACTCAAATGACTTCGCTAAACACATTTCAAATCTGAATAATTCATCTACTAAACCCATAAACATCAAATGATCCTATAAAATTAGTTAAATCAAAATTCATTAATTACAAATTTTTTATCCATCCCTAATTATACCTAGTGCTTCATTTATGCACGTAATACTTCGTATTGGCAAGTCACTCACGAACCGACCTTCAAAATTAATAAATTAATTAAAAATAGTCATCCCACCATTCACATGGACGACCAAAATATTGGCATGCCTGCCTAACATCAATAAAGTGCATGAAATTTTATTAATGATTAGAATTTGGTATACTATATTGTGCTTTTTTTGTTTTAAAAAAAGTTATCTCATATATGAGTAATTATGTAAGTAAGAGTGGTGATAATTTTTCTTATAAATAATGCAGATATTACAATAAAATTTTGGGTAAGTACACAAATGATCCTCGATTATAGGGTGTTGTTTTGTTGATTCATATGACTAATAAAAGTTTCAAAATGACCCCCTTCTATATGACACTGTTTTGTTGAGTCGTCTGACTATTAAAAGTTATAAATGATCACCCGACTATTCATATATTCTAAACTCATCATTTTCTGTTAAAACATTGGCGGTCGTCTGAGATTGACGTTAACCTGTTGATTGTGATATGATAAAATTTGATATAAGAATCGTTTTAGTTGTATTTTATTGTTCAAATCATTGTTTCTATTTATATCTTCGAGCCAATGCTTGAAACATTATATTGGTGAGTCAATGCTTGAAAGCAATAAAGGTGTCAGTAGACATCATTAAAATATAATTTGATCTTAGTCGGCGGGTTAACGTCCATCTCAGACGGACAGAAACATATAAATAGTCGGTGACTATTTTTTAACTTTTAATAGTCAGAGGACTCAACAAAGTTAAATCCTATAGTTTGTGACCATTTGTGTATTTTACCTTAAAATTTTCTTATTAAAAATATTTTTAATTTATTTATTTTATCTTTATTCCTTTATATTCCCTTAGGTTATGGATTTTGAATAGTCCGTGTAATTTTGTTAACCTATTTATAATTATGTTTATTTTTTTAAATAGTCTGGATGATTATAAAATGTTATTTATTTAGAATTTTCTTAATTAATTAATAATGTACATACACCTTTCAGACATAGCTGCTCAAACCAAAACCTTTAAAGAAAACAATATTTTCTTTTAATAATAAATTCAACGTATTAACCCTTCGTCGTCGGATGAAATCAATAACTCGAATTAAAGAGATAGGATTTGAGCAAATCGAGGGGTTGGATGGCATTCGTGCAACATCCATATTCCATATTATCAAGTTGTACTTCGATGTGTTTATAGCATAGGGACCATGCAAGATGGAGTAAAAAAAAAAGTTCCGAGAGATGAGCAAGGAGGACCGATGAACGCAGCCAATAATACATGAATCTTCCGAGTCCTTTAGGATGCCTTCCACCGAGTCACAACTTGAAGATGGATTGATCGCAACATCAGTATTTAAGCATACAAATAGATCGGTCCATGGCTCTGATCAACTTTTAATATTGATTTAAGATTTTTTTGGCCATTACAAAAATAATTAACACATTTTTTTAGGGAGAAGACTCTTCCTACCTCCTTATTACTTCTATCACTAAAATTAGTTTAATTTTTTTTCAAATTTAGAGGATGGAAAATAAAACACTCCCAAATAAATGAACATTTCTAATATTCAAACTTTTATTCTCATCCTTGGTAGGTTGAGATCACTACCACTTCAACTAATACCTTATTTTTTTTCCATAAAAGGGAGCTGTGCTTTTGCTAGAACTTGGAAGTAGAAAAGACTACTCTAATCAAAGCATAAGGTGATGTTTTACTGCAACAAGCTACCCACAGTTTGGTACATTTTTCGTTACAACCATTACAGATCTTAATAATAATAATAAATATCCAGGTTTTGGATTGAAACATTGAAATATCTCATTTGAATAATCAAAGCATAATTGACTCTACGTACCCTTTGGCTTTCATATATATCTGGACACTTGCATGAGTTCGAAGCTAGCTATAAAAACTAGCTAGGGTTCACAGCAGGCAAATCAGACATTGAGAAAGCTCAAAAGTTGTTCGAAAATGAAAGCCAATTAAGCTGGGGAGAAAAAAACAGGAACATGGAATTCATCGTTGGTGCTGTCGTTTGGGCGTTTTCCGCTTGTCGGCTCATGTCCAAACCTAAAAAGGCAACCGTGGATAGTAAGCTTTTGGGTCATGTCACTGCCATACAGCAAATAAACATCTATGATCTAACCCTTTCTTTCA